GTACCCCCCCCCCACCCCTCCCTGCTACTCCAACCTGGGACAGCACCCTACCCCTCCACACCAGGCCAGGTCAGATTTCCCCCTCTTCCCTACAGCACCAGGCCAAGTCAGCACCCTCCCCATCAAGCCCATACAATACCTTACGTGGCCCTCCAGCCCAAATAATTGCCCACCCCTATCTTACTGGCTCAGTGCAGTTCTGTACTGTTTACTATTGCCATGGAGCAATTGCCCCAAGAACTTGTAAAGCACTTTGAGGTCAGGCTCTTCTGAATGAAACGTGCTGTATACATGCAATGGATGTGTAATGTCTTTACCTTCCAATAGTTCTTAGCCTATGTTTTTTATTTCCATTATCTTAATGGGTCCAACTGGAAAATATTATGTAAAGTGAGTTTAGCCTATTGAAAGAGCCCTTTGTGTTCAAGGAAGGCTTTTTTTTCCCCTTCCTTACCATCTCTACTGATTACTACAGTGTCAAGTCATACTACTGATCAGTTTTTGAAAATTCAGTCTAGAAATGTTATGAGTTGTTAGTTTTTTAATTATACAAGGTAAAAACAATAATCCAGTATCAGAGCTCAGATCATAAACTGGCTCCTGCAAGCATCAGGAGGATTCCTTCCTGCTATAAAGCATCTGTAATATTAGTCAGGTGCATTATGGTAGCAGGGGAGAAGGGAGTTCAACCTTCCCTTTTGAAATGTCAGGTATTAGCCAATGCTAGATCTTAAAGATTAGAACAGATGGTGTAATCCAGTAAGTAAAATCCTGTTTTATGAAGTAGCTGCTAAAGTGTCTGCAAATGCCAGGAAAATAATTCCTCACCCCATTCCTTATACAAAAAAAAATCCCTATGCATTTTCTGACTGTGCTCTCCCAGCTTGCTGATTTCCACTGCGTGTGAACTGACTATGAACACAAGTTGCCAGCTTGTTTAGAGCCACCCCTTAGCTGATATAATTGAAAAGGAAGGCTGCAGCCTTCCTTCCCACCCTCACCACCTCAAGCCATTAACATTACCATTTTCACTACTTTCTTGTCTGTCACATGGGCTTCACTTAGCAAGTTCCTTTCCTTGCCTCCTGTGCGAATCGTTTTAACTTTCATGTGCCCCAGAAAAGTCAAATGGAAACTGCATGATGAAAAGGAGGTGGCAGTTACAGTTAGTTGTCTACTTGCTTAGTTGCCATGTGCTGTTTCATTCTCGGTAGAGGGAGTTCTCATAGCTCTCTTGCAGTGATGCTTAATGGTTCCTGCAAATGTACCATTCCCAAAACACCCAGCTTTCAGGATTCTCTGAATGGGTCTCTGCACTAATGCTAACACTGATTTTCAATGGTTTACTTTCCACAAGCAAGAGCATTTTCATTAGAGATGAGTTTCAGAATCCAGTTTCCCTATGAGGGGAAGGAAGTTTTCTGATCGTATAATGCCCCCAGATGAAACTTTTAGGCTGAGCACTTTTGAGAAAAAGAGAAATGTTCGTTTACAAATTTTAGCCAGTTTCACATTTATTTTTCTTTCTTTTTGTTGTTTTTACTCAGTCTGCTGTTTAATCTTTGATTACAGGCCACTAAAGAAGTAATAGAGCGAGAGGCCCCAGGGATGGCCCTGGCAATGCTGATGGGATCACTTAATGTTACTCCTCTGGGCATGCTCTCTAGGTAAGAACGTTACCAACAAAGTAAGAAGAGAACTATTTGACTTGAAGTATTCAAGCTGGTGCAATGGCTGCATAGTAAAGAACTGATGCTTGTCACTTTTCTCAAGAATTGGTAGGGGTCTTGCCTCAGTGAAATGGCCACAGTCCAACTCTAGCAATTGCATTCTGCATTGTTAAATACCCCTCACAGTTTCCACTGGATACTGTATTCTTCTGTACCTTCCATGCCAAATTGTTTATAGTTTGATTGTATTCTGTTAAACAGCTGTCTGATTCCACCTCTGTGCAGTTGCATTTGAGTTCCTTTTATGTAGCTTGAAAAGTGCTGAAGTTTCCTTTGAGATAAAAACAATTCTGGCTAAGTGGAGGTGCAGTATTTTGATGATGCAAAACTCTAGAACTCTTGGTTCAGAGATGGTACCTTTTATTAGACCAACAAAGAAATCACAATGATGTAACTTCTTCTAACATTAGCAAAGAACATCCATGAGAAAACATTGAAAGTGAGAAGTGAGATCACATTTCTGTGGATTTTTATGCTTTAACTCTTAATTTTTGTTATTTACTGTCTATTGACAGACAATATTTTCATTCTTTTGGTGTTTTCTTCAGTCAGTGTCTTCTCCAGTCATTCTGTGCTTCATTTAGGATAGACATATCAATATGCTGTATTCTAGTTATGCACTTGAGGTCCTTAGTATCATGGCTGAATCTATCTACTGTCAGAGACATTTAAGTAGAATAAATATAGTTTGGGTTAATTAAGTTATGCTTGCTGTTTATCTGACATTTTAAAAAGCAAAGCAAAAATATTGGGGGTCAACTGAGAAACAGTGGCTTTTGTATCTTTATTCTCAGTGACAGTGATGGATCTAATAATAAACTAATAATAATAATAATAATACTGGAAGGATTTGATAATACAAGATAATTCTTACTTAAATGCTTGCACTCTTAAAGAAGATTAGACTGAGGGTCATAGTAATTTGACAGTTTGTTTGAAAACTTAGTACTATAGTGTGCAAGTGTAAGTGCAACATTCTCCTCATTAACGTCTTTCAGCTAACACTTGAAAATGCCAAGTGTTTTTATTTCCATATCTTATGTGCAATTACCCATACATCATAGTATGTATTTATAGGGCCCCAGGGCAGAGAATTCTCCATTATCAGTCGCACAAAAAATACAGGGGAACAAGGGAATTCTCTAGCTCAGTGGTTGTCAACTGGGGGTAGGCGTACCCCTAGGGGTACTTAAAATGATCATATGGCATACAGGGGTGTGGCTTATGTCACTGCATGCATCCCAGTGGAGGCCTGGGGGACACATGCCTCCCTGGTCTGTGTGTGGGGCAGAGGCAGTTGCCGCTGCGTGCTGGACTTTGTGCGCCACTGCTGTTGCCCCAGGAACAGTGTGACTCCACATGCCACCACCAGGCTGCGCTGCGCCCCTGCCTGCCTGAGAGTGGGATGCACATGGCATCACACCCTTCCCAAGGCAGCTACAGCAGTGTGTAAAGCCCAGCACGCAGTGGCAGCTGCTTCTGTCCTGTGCACAGATCGGGGGGGGGGGGCACATGCCCCCCAGGCCTCTGCTGGGGTTCACACAGTGGCAGGAGTCCCCCCTGTGCTCTTGGATGAGCTGCCCAGGATCTGATTATCCCATGACCTGGCCCGGCCAGGGTCCCATTCACCCCAGCCCCTGTCCCTGTCTGTGCCCCACTCCTTCCCTCACTGCAGGGGCCTCGATCTGTGCCCCCGCACGGCCCTTTCCCCTCCCTGGCAGACTTACCTGCTGGGGGGGGCACGTGCACTCAACCCCCCCCCAATAATTTTAATAAAAAGGGTACATGAGCTGAAACTTTGAGATAGAAGGAGTACACTTGTTCAAAAGTTTGAAAACCCCTGCTCTAGCTCCTCTGTCTCAGCTGATTATAGTGGGGCAGCTGATTATAGTGGGGATTAGGACTGACTTTGCACAGCCAGCCTTGTTTTGGTGAGTCACACAGCTCATATGGCTGAAACCAGGCATGTAATGGTAAATGTTCAGTAGAACAGTAGAGCACACCTGTCTTCTGAATCCATAGGCAGAATTATCTAAAGAGTTATTGTATTTAATTTTTCAAAAGAGATGACAGTTCTCTCTTCTGTTCCTGTCAGTCCCGCACCCAATTCAAGTCCTAATTAGAGAGATTAGTAAACAGGAGGAAAAGTAGCTGAGACATTTGATCTTTTAAGCCTTTCACATAATTTTGAGAAACAAGACAGACTTATTATAAAACCTTTTGAAATGAAATCTTTTACAAAACATGAAGTCCATATCAGTGGTAACTTTTTTTACTTGTTTCCTGTTAATGCTGTCTTGGTTGTTAATACATCTTGCAGGCCCCTGATCAGCTAAAAAACAGCTATGCTGCTTTGGGGGTGTCAAGTGGCTTTCCATAGCTCTCATGGTTCACAGATGTAGGAGAATCTTAATTACACTATCAATTTCCATTATTTCAGAAAGTAACGTTGCTGAATCATTTTCTTATATGCTCCAACATTATGACAGGGTATGTTATGTTTAAGGTACTATCTTTTGAACAAGACAAGAAGTGAAGGTCATGATCCATTATACCATTAAAGAATTGCAATTCTTTAATGCAGCTTTTCTGTATACTTATAAATTTTAAGCCCTCAACTGGTTATAACTGAAAAGACAAAGAGTTACTTCATCTGGAACATGGAGTTTAACATGTTGATTTCCTTACTTAATATAGTGGCTTTAGGAGCCATCACATGGAATGGAGATGTAATAAATCAAACCTGGACGGGAAGATTGTGCTTCATATGATTATCTTGTACTATCCATGATCGCGAGCAATGTGGTACATTTCAGGCAGCAAGACTGTTATGTGATTTCTATCCTAACTTCTATGGATCATCTCAGCTGAAGGCCGCCGCCCCCCCCATCCAGTTTCATGCATCATTCTTGATGATTTCTGTTATAGTCAACACTGATCATAATTGATTTT